CCTGCAATTCGTCCTGTTTGCCTGCCCACGTGTGTACATGTATGTGTGTTCCATCCAGTAAATTTTGTATGGTTCCTGTCCTAATTAGACATGAAAACATTGTAATAGTTTCCTGATTTCAGTCCATACTCGTATGTGACAGCAGTATAACTCAATTACAGATAATTTGCCCATTCCCAGTGTCAGTGATTTTGTTACTCTGCTATATTTAGAGTGGCGAGCTGCTGTAATTGAGTCTTCTCGGCTGACAGTTGGATAATGATGAAGAAATGTCTTTTGATCCACACATAATTTTATGTTTTGAAATATCTTTGTGGCACGTTATCTGAGAAATTCTGTATTTCTTAGTGATCTAATAGGGGTTTGATAACGATCTGTTTATTTTCGTTAGTAGTTGTGATGCAATTATAATTGCTAATTGCAAGCAAACATCAAATGCAGTGAGTATGTACCCGTTAAGGTGTACTGTTGTCTTTACATGTCTTCAAAAACACATAACGTAAAATTGGAAACAAAATTGTAGCTATGAAAAAGGTTTTGATTTGAAGTTTCAAACCGTCTGTCACTGTTAACAGTTATTGGCCTATAATAATCATATGACATTGCCAAAATCTAGTGCATGTCAACTTGAACATAAATTATACTTATTTTTCAGATTTATGTTTTTAGGATATTTATGATTTATATCCAATTCCCTGAAATGATTAACCGCACATTTGTCTCATCCCATCCAAATCCAGGTTGACTTTTTTTTTTTTTTAACAACAGTTGCATAGATCATTGTTTTTTTAATGGTTATAAGAATTCTCATGAAAAAACTTAATTTCATCTCGTAAATTTCCCTCATAAATGTTACCACAATTAAATTGCTGTGGTAAATTATATTACTTACTAAGTATATTACACATTTCCATGCCAACAGATAAATTAGAATTGGGCAATGTACATCATTGTGTACATGTACCCCATCATTATATAATGCTTGTACCAGTATATGTTTCCATGGTGACTGGCCTTGTTGAAGCACTGAATTGAGGCCCGATTGAAGCACTGAATTGAGGCCCGGTTGAAGCACTGAATTCAGGCCCGGTTGAAGCACTGAATTCAGGCCCGGTTGAAGCACTGAATTCAGGCCCGGTTGAAGCACTGAATTCAGGCCCGGTTGAAGCACTGAATTCAGGCCTTGATGAAGCACTTAATTCAGGCCCGGTTGAATTACAACTGTACCAGATCAGAACCCAGTGAGGAACCATAATGCTAAGTAGAACTCTCTCGGACTACATGTTATACAACATTATGCTACTCTAATGACAGTGCCAAATAAAATGTCATTTATAAAAAATACCAACATATATGTAACAATGTTGTCAGTCAGATTGAAAAGTATACATTTTTAGTAGGATTAGTGTAGGGTTTGTCAATCATTTTTTTCTGGAAGGGGGGGGGGGGGATGTACCATATTTGCTCTATTAAAAACACTACCAATAAAAGTGCATGTGTGAATAACTATTCTTGTATGCTGAGACATTTTTCCACCGGACATGGAAAATATGTTTGAGTAGTCAGAATACAAAAATGTTGTCTATGTCTACATCAGTAAATTGACATTTCTATATTAGAAATTTGGGAATATGATATGACATTATTGGGATGAATATATAAATTTTGGAAAATATTCTAGGTTTCACCTTTGATCCTGTCAGAACTCCATTCAAAAGTCAAATTCAAAATTTTATTCAGCAGGAAGTGGAAATAAATGGTTTTGAATGTTCTGAAAATCATTGAAAACATAATAATGTGAGTGAGATCTAAATCACACACTGTATGACATAGCTCTTATAGCATTAAATTTACAATGCAAATATTGTGCATTTATTTAAATGACTATGATGTTCTATGATTCCAGTATTACATGTAATATATGCTGGACTATATATATGTATAATATCCCATGCCTACCACTGCGCTCATGTTATTGTACACTAATCGCTATATGCAGGTGAATTTATTCAAATATATTACTGTTTATACATGTAGATTTTACATATTGCCTGTCAAACATAGACTCTTTTGGTAGTCAGTATATTTACCATAATTATCAAATTATGACGTGTTTTCCAATATTTTCATGAAATTTTTTTTTCAAATTGAGTATGTAATATTATAAAAAAAAATACTGAAATATTATCAGGCATTTATTGTGTGTACTACGTGAACAGATTAAGCTTCCACGTATAAGGTAATGCTGGGGTTTCTTTTTAGGGCGAGGAGAGTCACATGGTTGAACCTCGTTTGACCTTTAATGTATTTGTCCAATAACATCAGATGGTGTAACTTATTTTACATGCCTAGATAGGTCTTTTAATTATATATTGTTCGATCTTGTATAAAAAGTTTATTCAACTCTCGTTTGACTTACACCTGTCACAGCTTTCCTGTTATCTGTTCTATACCATTTATGTCAACCTGCTTGTCAGTGTAAGTAATTCATTTTGCTAAAAAAAGGTTCATAATGGGCCGGAGCTAGAAGATCTATCTCAACTCATTGTATCACATAAAATGTGTAGCAATCACCTAGGCATTCTTGCAAAACTGTCTCCATGGCTACATCTATACCTTTCCAAATAATTTTGTCTGAGGATCCATACATGAATGTGCATGTGCATGTACGTCTGTCAGTCTATCCATCTGTCTGTGTGTGTACCATCTCGAACAGCACCCGTGTACATGTAGTACTGCTACAATTGTGTACATGTATTGATTCCATATAGCGCCCCCATACTGTAATTTTGAACATCACCGCCATGCCACATTATCGTATCATACCCTGATATTCATTTTTTATGACAAGAAAATAATAAAATTGCAGAAAAATGTTTATTGCCAGCTGCTTGCCTGAGTACCGGTAATCTAGCAAGAAAAACATGCTTACCGGATTAAAATGAATTGATAATCTATAAATAAAAAATGACACATACTTAATATTGACTATGGATAGTCTCTGGAAGTAAATAAATGACCTTTTGCATTTACAGATTAGTTTACATGTATATATCTTAATTAAAGTTAATTTAGTTTGACCGTACAAATCTCTAGGGGGTTGGTTTGATTTTTGTGGCCTTTTTTGTAACAAACCCACAACACCAATTCATTTCATATTACTTTCAGGTTTGTTGGGTAATCATTCTATGTGTAAACTTAGAAACCCTGTCTAAAGCTTGCTAGTAAGAAATATGTAATATGTATTTTCCCAGAGGCAGTCACAGTGATTGAAATGCAGTTTAAAAAGAGTCTCAAAAACACAAACTAACTACTGCAATGTGCACCAGATCACCAATACAGTATACTTGTACCAGTAGTTTATTTATACTTATATTTTCTCAAGATTTCACCAAACCAGAATATTCATATTAATAGAGGGCCTAATATTGACCCCTGACCTTTTAGCTTATTAATATGTTCTATGTACATGTGTAAACTTTAAGTGTAAATAACATTATTTGTATGCTTTTTTCAGTTTTCTCATCCATGTTTGTGTTATCATTTTGTTTGTTTATGTTTCCTGCACATAGCTAGCATACATGTGTATATATTTATCCATAGTAGTTGGTCATTATAAATTTTTCACCAGAATTTAATCCCAGCAGTTATCACACAAATATTACTTTAGAACTCACTAACATAATTGTTTTTTCTGTTGCCATACTTTTTGAAAGCAACATAGTCATCACACTCATTCATGTTCACGGTCGTTCTCATGTGATGTAAATTGTTTGTTTAAAATATACCATATCTGGACACACAATTCATGATGATTGTAGTGTATTTTTTGTGTACACCTTTAATAGTGTTTGAGTGAGTGAGTCTTTCCTACATACATGACTACCGAGAGTGTTCTATGTACTAATTGTGAGGTTTTTGCATAATGTATTTAAAAGAACTGCGTAAAACAGTACCACATACATTGTAGGTCAAGTAACTGTGCACGTATAATCGTATACTTGGCTAATAAAATTACTACGCAGCCTGATGATTTTAACTGACTCAAGTGGCTACTCAGGATTTGTTTAACAAATTAATTGTTTGCGTGAAATGATTGATTTATGTGTTTAATCCTTGTAGTTTGTTCATGTAATCGAATTCTTGTTTCCAAATAAGGACTTACAGTATCAATGACTGACAGATATATAGTTTATATAATTTGTTTTTTATGGTGAACGGTATTATGATACTTGTTATTTAAGATAAATTGTATAAAAACGTGGTCACTTAAATCACATCAATCCAAGACACATATAACAGTATGAAATGACATTTATCGTAGTGGGCTTATGCAATGAAACATGCCACACTAATTATTTCTGTGAGAGTAAAGAGTTTAAATATTGACTGATTTTTTATTGATGTACAAATAACCTCTTCCATGGACCTTTTAATGAAAAACAGAAGCTTGTTGGTAATTGCAATTATTGCTGATATGTGCCCTCTGTTGGCAACTTTGGGAAAGGCATTTTAGGTGATGGAGATTAAATTACCTTTTCTATACTGTGTTCAATGCCCCTCACTGTAATTCTAAGTTGAGTGCGTGTACTCTTACTGTTTTATTAGACTTGATTATTTTAGTATGCATCATTCATTGAGTATTTAATGTAACCTTGGCAATTGCATTCTGGGAAGTATTTCTAAATTTGTGTGAGTGCTATTCATATCTGTGTATTGCTGTTTTATCTGGAATCCTTCATGTGTTCTTAATATTTTAATCCTCAATAGATGCAAGTATGCTGGTGGTATTTCATTCATTGTACACAACACACACAACTCATTTCACTATCCACCACGGTATATCTATTTTTCTCTAAAACCAAATACATACACTGTGTTTTTCTTTAATATTATTTTTGGTATGTTCTTTGTTAATTGTGTTGTATATTACATTTCATTTATTTCTTGTATGACTTATGTGTGTTGTTTCTCTGTCTTCTCTCGTTTTTTGTCTCCAGATCGGGCATCGAGTGGTAGTGTAGAGAATTCTGACTCTGACTGTTTGCTCTCTTGTGCCGATGGACAAACTCCTGTTGCACCTTCTCCTTCCAAGCGGCCTCAAGGTAATTAGTGTTTGTCCCAGTTATGAGATTTTCTGAAGAATAAAACTGACGTAACCATAGCACGTTGTTCAGAATATGATCATATGTGGACCACGTGCATAAACGTTGGTGATCTTTCAAACGCACAACTACATTACTTTACATTGCTGTGGCGTTTCTGTGTCTTGTTGCAAATGCCTTTGAGGAATTAAGCTCTTGTCAAGTTATTCCAATGCTACATTGATAAAATACATCTGTCACTATTCTACGTATAGTTTTTGTACCTATTGGTTTGTCTGAATCAAACAACTTTATGAATAATTAAGCATGTTATGTATTGCTTTGTGACGTCATTTGTGAATTGTGCTGTCATGTGTCTGGTATTCTTTCTCTCCACTCTCACAAATCTTGTTAAAAAGATGAGCTGCATTATTTGCTTGTTTTGGGGAAATTTTTAATTTATGCATACATGTAAATTAAATTACATGGGGTGTACAGGCTATATACATGTAAACAGTATATATACACATGTAAACAGTGCATATACACATGTAAACAGTATATGTACACATGTAAACAGTGCATATACACATGTAAACAGTGCATATAGACATGTAAACAGTGCCTATACATGTAAACAGTGCATATGCAAATGTAAACAGTGCCTATACATGTATACATGTAAACAGTGCATATACATATGTAAACAGTGCCTATACATGTATACATGTAAACAGTATATATACACATGTAAACAGTGCATATACACATGTAAACAGTGCCTATACATGTATACATGTAAACAGTGCATATACACATGTAAACAGTATATATACACATGTAAACAGTGCATATACACATGTAAACAGTGCCTATACATGTAAACAGTATATATACACATGTAAACAGTGCATATACAAATGTAAACAGTGCCTATACATGTATACATGTAAACAGTATATATACACATGTAAACAGTGCCTATACATGTATACATGTAAACAGTATATATACACATGTAAACAGTGCATATACATGTAAACAGTATATATACAAATGCAAACAGTGCATATACACATGTAAACAGTGCATATACATGTATACATGTAAACAGTATATATACAAATGTAAACAGTGCATATACATGTATACATGTAAACAGTATATATACACATGTAAACAGTGCCTATACATGTATACATGTAAACAGTATATATACACATGTAAACAGTGCCTATACATGTATACATGTAAACAGTATATATACAAATGTAAACAGTGCCTATACATGTATACATGTAAACAGTATATATACACATGTAAATAGTGCCTATACATGTATACATGTAAACAGTATATATACACATGTAAACAGTGCATATACACATGTAAACAGTGCTTATACATGTATACATGTAAACAGTATATATACACATGTAAACAGTGCCTATACATGTATACATGTAAACAGTGCATATACACATGTAAACAGTGCATATACACATGTAAACATGCCTATACATGTATACATGTAAACAGTATATATACACATGTAAACAGTGCATATACACATGTAAACAGTGCCTATACATGTATACATGTAAACAGTGCCTATACAAATGTAAACAGTGTCTATACTGTATAGACATACACATGTGTATAGTATACACATGTAAACTGTGTCCATACACATGTAAACTGTGCCTATACACATGTAAACTGTGCCTATACACATGTAAACTGTGTCTATACACATGTAAACAGTGTCTATACACATGTAAACTGTGTCCATACACATGTAAACTGTGCCTATACACATGTAAACTGTGCCTATACACATGTAAACTGTGCCTATACACATGTAAACTGTGCCTATACGCATGTAAACTGCCTATACGCATGTAAACTGTGCCTATACACATGTAAACTGTGCCTATACACATGTAAACTGTGCCTATACACATGTAAACTGTGCCTATACGCATGTAAACTGCCTATACGCATGTAAACTGTGCCTATACACATGTAAACTGTGCCTAAACACATGTATACACTGTCTATACGCATGTAAACAGTGCCTATACAAATTTAAACAGTGTCTATACAAATGTAAACAGTGTCTATTCACATGTTGCTAGTGAATTTGTGTTTGAATAACAATTTATTTCTAGCTATTTGCATGACATGGATCATGTGACCTGACATGGGTCATGTGACCGACACCGGATTAGCGGCAGGCATGCTATCTAAATTTACCGATCAGACCAATCATCAGTATCACTATGATATGCATGGGATGCACATGTAGCTGAGATTGCGTTCCAGTGGCCTCATCAAATGAGACTGGTTTGACAACTGTGGCAACAGTGGAAGAAAGTTGCATTGCTATGTTTTAATATTTACTGATCAGAACAGGTTTATTCTTGTGTTATGAGAAGTATTTTGTTTTTTAAATCTACCATGTGAAATAGTGTGTTAGATACAGTGAAACAGAACAAAATTACTTAAAGTTTTGAATTTGCTGTGAAAATACTTAGAATTACATAATAGACACATGACTAATTTACATTAGTTATTTCATGGCTCTTGATAATTTGCGCAAGAATGCATAAAAAACTCACTTTCAGATGGAACTATTTTACATTGTATGACTCATTAGCATATCAGTTGTAGACAATACTGATGTTATTCAACAGCAAACTCATGACACTGTCGTTGTAGAACATTCAAGTAAACTATTTGTAAAAGTAGGGAACTTTTCATGCATTTGCGTTAAATTTGGCTGTTGATGAAAGTGCATTGTTTACATTCCCATTTTTACAAATGATCTCACTTATGATAATTGCCATCGATCTCCATCGTATCTCTGTTCCACTTGTCGAAAATGTATTTTTGTTAGAAAGTGAAACTTACCAGCTTACAAATATTGATCTTTATTGATCGTGGTTCTGTTTATCACAGTAATGTGTGCGTACATGATACACAGAGTGGATATCGTCTCTTTCATTATGTCTCTCTCGTTACCTTATGTATTCATCCCAGTTTGTGAAGCAGTCTTGGTATGTGTAGCAGGTTTAGATTTATTATGTACATGTACATTGCCGTATCAGTGCATGTGCTAAAATTTTAGTTACAAAGTATGACAGTGGTGTGTCCATGGTCAAAATTATACTTTTTTCAATAATTCAGTATGCAAAAAAAAAATATTTTGGATTCATGGGTACAGTACATGCTTCTATTTGAAGTGTGCTTCTAACCTTCTCACCACCAGTTCCCTCTTTTTATCACAAATTCACAAAATAGTCTGCATTTTCAGATGGTTGGACAAAAATTACTAAAAATGGAACATTGACTCAAATTTTGTTTGTTGGCTCCAAAATTAGGATTTATTTTCAAAAATATTGGAAATATAAGAAAAAAGTGCAGAAAAATTTGAGAGTCTGTACATGTAATATACATCGTATTTGTCTTATTTGCAGTGCAAATAAACCACTCTGTGAATAAGGAATATCAGGTGACAATTTTTTTTTAATTTCCTGATTTCCCAAGAATGGGAGTCAAATTTTCTGACTTAGTAAATCATACCTATTGGTGTGCAGCTCTAGTTTCACTGTGGTAACCTCATCAGGTCTACTCTTACTGTGAGTGGGAGGGGACACAAATGGGAGGAAGGTTATTGATCCTCCAGTATTCATAAGAGGATAACTTCTATTTTTCCATATTATCCTTGGAGTTATATGTCTATTAGTTCCTGTTCAGATTCAGTCTGAAAAAAGGGACATACATGTATGGTTTGACCTCAGTGCATGCCCACCTCTATCTCAGAGTTGCCTGGGCCGATCACATTCAAACTTCACACATATATCATACCTTTTGGGATAGGTACATATGCTTGTCCATTCATTTCACAACCTGATTCAAAATGGCCGAATGGCGGTCATTTTACATTTAAAATTCATCAAAAGCATTTTTGCCATTCCGGACCCAGATCTTGGTTATATTTTGACAGCTATTGCCCATCTATGGGTGCATACAATGAACATATATATATCAAAATCAAATATTTCTGCTGTTGCGTGTACTACACTACCTCTCTCAGATTTGTTCATTTTGTAATGATAACTTTAATTCTCTAATTTTGGTGAATATTTTTGTCATTTTTGGTAAAAAGTGATATTTTCGACTTCTTGTTAAAAACCGCAAGCCTGATTGCTTTTATATTACATATATAGGTACTACATGTGGACCTCTCTCAGTTTGTTCATTTTGTAATGATATCTTTAATTCTCTAATTTTGGTGAATATTTTTGTAATTTTTGATAAAAAGTGATATTTTCGACTTCTTGTTAAAAACCGCAAGTCCGATTGCATTTATATTACATTTATAGGTACTACATGTGGACCTCTCTCAGATTTGTTCATTTTGTAATCATATCCTTAATTCTCTAATTTTGGTGAATATTTTTGTAATTTTTGATAAAAAGTGATATTTTCGACTTCTTGTTAAAAACCGCAAGTCCAATTGCATTTATATTACATTTATAGGTACTACATGTGGACCTCTCTCAGATTTGTTCATTTTGTAATGATATCTTTAATTCTCTTTAAAGTCGCATTCGTTAGTGAATGAATCTCGGCCAGTGGAATTGGCCTTCCCATTGAGTCTGTGGCACACTCACCCAGGGTAGGGGTCGACCCTTTTGATGTTCAGCCTAAGGTAGGATTTGAACTTGGGTCTACAGATCATGAGTCTGATGCAACAACCACTATGCTACCAGTTTTTGTCATTTTTGGTAAAAAGTGATATTTTCAACTTGTTAAAAACCGCAAGTCCAATTGCTTTATTATTACATATATAGGTACTACATATGGACCTCTCTCAGATTTGTTCATTTTGTAATGATATCTTTAATTTTCTAATTTTGATGAATATTTTTGTCCTTTTTGGTAAAAAGTGATATTTTCGACTTCTTGTTACAAGTGACAAGTCCGATTGCTTTGATATTACATATATTAGGTACTACATGTGGACAACTATCAAATTTGTTCATTTCATGATGATATCTTCAATTCTCTAATTTTGATGAATATTTTTGTCATTTTTGGTAAAAACTGATATTTTCTTCTTGTTAAAAACCACAATCATTTATGGTGAAAAATGATATTTTTGAATTCTTGTTGAAAACATAAAGTCTCATTGCATTGATACTATGCATATTGTTCATTTTCTAATGATATCTTCTGTTCTTTAATTGAAATGTGCATTGCTAACAGCGGAGCTATCTCAGCCGACTGGCTGCTTGTTTTTATATCGGATTCAAAATGGCTGCATTCTTCTGATCGCAATGACACTTTACAAGTACATGACATGAAAAGAAAGCAGAAACTTGTAGTTGTTACTCTTACGTTCTTACTCCCATGTTTTTTTTTCCTTGTCTTGTGATTCAAAATGGCTGACTCATTTCACAGGTATGTAATGGCAATCTTGAGCTTCAACCTGAGCTTGCTCAGAGTCACCCTGAGCTTGGGAAATTACTTACAGCAGAAGCTCAAAACAAAGTTTTGGGTGCCGACTCTGAGCTCCAACCTGAGCTTCAACTTGAGCTTGGGAAATTTATAGCAGTACTGATATAGATTGCCATTACATACCTTCATTTCAGTTTTGTTAACTATTGAACCAACAAGGACTGGGTCATGTCATGACTTGTTAAAATGTGGTTAGAATTGAAACAATGAGAATTAAGATGCTCAGTGTCAAAATAACTCATAATACTAATACTAAAGAAGTAAACCATTGTTTATTGTTTTGTTTTACTTAGGAATCCGAAGTCGGTTATTTCAACGCAAGAAGGAAAATGATTCTACATCAAATCTAAAAGGTCTACAAGGTGATTCTTCACCAGAGACCCAGCGGGTGTCGTATGCAGAGAATCTTCTGGATTTACCACCAAGACCACCAGCATTTGTCAGAGTATTGCAACAAATACGCAGCATGCCAAACATGTCAGTACAATGTATTCTCACTTTATAGTTTTCCCTCAAAAGGTTGATACAGTTTTGAATTTTTCAGATTGTTGACTTCACCATAATTTTCCAGCTCCACTATTATATAATTATCTTTAACTTTACAATCAAGTTTCAACTTTTTTCCTAGCAAAAAAAAATTCAGCAACTTGCATTGGGAATATTTGGGCTTACAAAATTTTCCTCTTTCATTTGCATACAACGCTTTTTGTTTTTTGCTGGTACAGTTACAATTCACCTCAACCACCACACTAAAATACACTCATGGTAATTCACTACATGTAGCGTTGCGCAAAGCCGCTACTTAGGGGTACATGTATACACGTATCATATGCTAACACAGGCACGGTGTTTCAGATGTATTATTGTCCTATAAAAGTTGAATTCAAACTCCTGATCTGAGCTGGAATAGAATTGTTGTGCTGATTGATGTACATTGAACTAATGAAGGCACTTTGAAAGATATTCTAGTAAATTTTGCTGTTACAGTAGTTTAATCATGTTGTCTATGTAAAGGTACATAAGGTGATTGCAACTGTGTGTATTTAGTATGGTCCCATATTTCACATAACACTATATACACATGCGGGTCCCATATTACACACAACACCATATACACATGTGGGTCCCATATTACACATAATATCATATACACATGTGAGTCCCATATTACACATAACATCATATACACATGTGGGTTCCATATTACATACAACATCATATACACATGTGGGTCCCATATAACATAACACTATATACACATGCGGGTCCCATATTTCACATAACACCATATACACATGTGGGTCCCATATTACACACAACACCATATACACATGTGGGTCCCATATTTCACATGACACCATATACACATGTGGGACCCATACTGCACATAACACCATATACACATTTGGGTCCCATATTACACATACATGTAACACGATTTAAAATGGCCGACCGGTTGCCATTTTGTTTTAATTAATGCTGTTCCAGAGCATTATCTCTCAATCAGTACTCCTTTGAAGATCAGATACAAGATGACTGAATGTTAATCATTTGAATGTTAAAAAATCATTGTAATCAAGCATCAGCTACTGGAATCATATCTCTGACATTTTTATGTTCAAATTATATTACTATAAACAAAACTATATATCTTAAATTTGATAACTAACATGAACTGTGCCATGCATGGCTTGTTTAACTGGTATTACATTTATTCACTGTTGTAGGAGGAAAGCAATAGATACCAAATCAAGTCGTCCACCTAGCGCCGGGAATAAAGCGGCCACATTACCAGTACATCGTACCAAGTCAGGAGGAAGTGATAGCGGTGATGTCAGTCGTGATGGCAACAGATCACGAGCTGGTAGTTCTTCAGCAGCTGATTTTATTGATAGTAGACATTCCAGTGATCGTGAGGAGGAATCAGTAAGTTGTCTTGAAAGGACGTTGTCAAATGTAATGATTATGGCTTGGAGGAACAAGCTCAGCATATAAAACCAAACCAAATCTGAAAAGTGATATATTGCATGATCATTGAATTATAGATCAAGGGAACAGTGTGTCATCTCACAGTTCTTGTGGTTACTTCAATTTGCACAATATCCTTATTTAAATAATAACACATGTTTATGAGGGTAATATCTCAGGCTGCTGGTCATGACCATCATCCCTCAGGCATTGCCCCATGACCATGTGTTATTTATTTTATCACATCGAACAGGCATTCACCACATCCCTCACATCAGCTATCCCACAAAATAACAACACTTATATTTGAATGCAATTTTTGTATTTCATTTATTATAACAAGTGACACATTACTCAATAGCATACTTACATACATTGTTTGAAAAAAAACTGCGAAATACACAGTAAATGTTACTTTGAGTAGTATGAATTAAATGTTGAGTATAAAATTATTGAAATGAACTGAGAAATTCTTAAACACAAGTTATTTTGCCACTCGTCAGATAAAAATGTCAGAACGGCGTGGAAGTGACTGCAATGAGAACGTACTACACCTTCTATCTGCATTCACAAGTCACAAGTTTTGAGCGTTCTCGGTGAGCATCAGCGTGGCACATGCAGAACACTAACAGTGTATAAAGTGTTGCATCGATCCCGGATGCGTCGTTTCAGTGGCGGCTGTACATATTTGCTGTAGATAAAGAATAGCCTAAACACAAAAACAGATTATCTTACTATCTTCTGGCACGTTTGCTCTCTATGTTGGATGGCTGAAGTTCCTTCAAAACCTTGAAAGCAACAACGACCGGGACAGCAGCAGTGCAGCAAAGACAATTTGTTATGCACAATATCGCTGCGTAGTAGTCTCAGTGACGTTATCCATGTGATATACAATGTAATATCACCATATTTGGTATGTTGTACAAATGCTGTGCCTGGAAGCAAATAGTAAAATCTAAAAATAAATTACCAACTACTTCAGGCTGCTGATACCTGAAATGAGATTAAAATTAACATCTGTTGAATTGAGCTTTGCTTCTATCTCATATATGCAAAAAAAGGTTTTAAGACTATTGGACATTTCTCAGTGCTTTTTGAATAACCTTCAATAATCTGATGTCTGTTAAGCGACTACAACGCATCTTCACGGTTTCTAAGGTGACAAGTGGTTACAGTTTCAATCTATTTTGCTTGGACGTTGATTCATCCACTATCGTGAAATTTTTCGACAAATTCTGCGACAGGTGGTAAAGATTGTCTCAAAAAACCACTGCATCCGTCCATACTGAAAGTTGCATATAGCTTGGGGTTTGTTGAAGAACTGGTATTCGTTGTGTTTTTTTACTTCAATTTTTATATGTAAGAAAAATATTAAGGTAATCAAGCATGATATTTCCTCTCTTTGATGCTATTAAGGGGACACACCTATGTATACATCTGTCATATATTTTGTGATTTCTCTTACAGTGTGAGAATCTTGCGGTGTCCAATAGTACCGATGCAGACTTCTCCACATTGGATGAGGCTGACTCGGGACATACGCCGGACCCCTTACGAGCTAAGGGAATGATCGAACAATATCAACAAAAGATTTTACGAATAAAGGAGCAAATAAAGGCGGAACAGACACAACGAGATGGTACGTGTACCTATATCTGATGTGTTCATGACAGAAGATATTTTCACTGTCGCATTATGGGTTTTCACGGTTGCAGTCTTTCTTCAATTTCAGAAAACGTTAACGAGTACTTGAAGTTAGCTGAACATGCTGACAAACAACAGATTGCCAGGATCAAAACAGTTTTTGAAAAGAAAAATCAAAAATCAAATTCTGTAATCGCACAGTTACAAAGAAAATTAGAAAAATACCAGGAGCGAATAAGAGGTTTGGAAGCAAACGGAGCACCCCCAAGGAAACCTAAAGAGGTTCTTCAAGGAATGCATCAAGGTCTCAAGTAAGTAAGCAGGCAATATAAATTATATCCGACAATAAAATAATTAAATGCTACTCGGACCTATAAAAATTATATATACTGCAAATCTGTATTAGAAGCCATATTTCTAATAGAATTTGCACCTATTCTTTTTGAACAATTGAAAACAAAAAATTCATCATTTCCCATATGTGTAGACGCTCTAATAGATGTTGCATCACTTTCTTAAACATTGTACCATTTTAACAGAAACCGCAGCTTCTAATACAGATTTTACAATAGTTGACAATTTTAAAAATGTTATCAATAAAGAGGTATTGCGCGAAACGTCTAGCTATTTTGAATGATTATTTAGGACAAGGACTACTAAATATTATCTACTTTATATCATATTCAGCAGTCATCTGTTGTTTGAATACTGAATAAAGTACTAGGAGTGACAAAATAAACTCTTGAGATATACCGCTATCTCTATCAGTTTTTCTTGCAACATTGCGATGTTCCTGAGAACATTCCCAGCGGTCTTCAGTACTTTCAATCCAAATCTCCTTATACTCCTTGGACACATCCATTTTCACAAAGGATTCACGTAACTAAATTGCAGTGAAAACAACTTTGATTGAATCTCAGTACGTTGAGAGTTGATGAACTCATTTTCAAAAGGGTTTTATAGATTTATTTGAATTCAAATAAAGTCAGATCTTGAGCAAAAGTATTGTGTGAAAAGTAAAAAAAACAGAAGTGTAAAATGCCCAGACCCACAATTCTATGTCGATAAATATCCAACACTCACCAGTGTCATAGATACCCTCACGCATAACATTTTATCAGAAAAATTGAGACATATTACAAACATTTATTATAAATTTTGAGAACTTCTGTCAAATATAGTGTAAATGAGTGTTCTCACTTTCCAATTTATGGTTGAAGTCATAACAGACATTGCTAACAATATTTCGAGGGAGATAGTAATTTTTCTGATCAGTTTATTGTGGTGCTCGTTATACAACAATCCAGTAAATGATACTTATTATTTTTGCAGGGGTGTTGGTGCTAATATTCGTGATGGAATATCAGGGTTTTCTGGGTAAGTTGGTCATCATGACGAAGGTGATGTGGAATCTGGGAATGATATTATGATTGAGAAATGACAAACAAAGTGATCATGAATGCGAATAAACACAGTCCTCACACATTTTAAGCATGTTGGTGTTGTTGTCCTCACTATCATAATAACAGAGGCAGCTTGTAATATAATGACACACATTGTTCTGTATTATGCAAATTATATGTATATTAGCTTAATATTATGTAAATTTGCTTTCATGCTGAAATGCTTTATCTGTAGAGAACAGTGTCTGGTAGTTTGTTTGTGCTCTTTTTGAGTTTCCTTTGCTAGCTGTAGATAACTCAATAGCAGCCTTTAAAGCTGAAATCCTGTGTGTTCTATGATGTCACACAGCAAGTCAATGCTAGTCAGCATAATTCCATCTAGTCTAGAAGTGTAAAATGCCCAGACCCGCAAATCTATATCAATAAATGTCCAACACGCATCACTCTCATAGATACCATATTTAACATAGGCCCACGCACATAACATTTTATTGAGAAAATTGAGGCATATTTCAAGGACCATTTAACTTGTTGGTGACTGCCAGTGGATCTTTGTCATTATGTTGTCATGGTGAGCAGCCATATTGGAAGTCTGCCTTCTCCTTGCAGTGTCTGATTTCACAAAGAAAAATAGAATAGTACAGTCATTCTGAAGTTAGGTTCTGGGCGATTACTAGGGTATATGTTATAAACTTGTTTAATTCAAGACTAGTAAATAAAGGTCCCATTTGATTAATACAGCCACGTTCTTTAAAAATCAAATGTCATTAATGCCTGTGAGGGCGCTGTTTAAAGCCTATCATCATCATCACCTTGTTTATTTATATTTTAACTTTACATACTCTCAATAGGATTGATTATTTCTGTTTTTTTTCATCCATTTATTTATGTTTAACTGGTGGAAGGTCATAGTACCATTTTCGCATAAATCAAATTGGTAATGTTAAAAACTAACTAAAACTCCAATAGTTGTGAAAATAAGCTGACACGTTTAGGGCCATTTTGATCACACCAAATTATACTCTGGCAGTGATGTTGATATTACTTTTTATATTTTGTTTGGCAATTTCTTGATAACATTTCATTGTTTTATTTTCTGACACAAATGTGGCCTTAATATGCGAAATTGGTACAGTACGCATTGCATGCATCATCTTTCATATTTTCACAGTGGTATGGCTGACAACATTAGAGGTGGTCTTACTGGCCTTTCAGAATTTGCACACACTGCAGGAAGGTAAGCCCTCCCCATTCCATAGTAGATTAGCCTGTAGGACAAGTGTTTTGGAACAGACCAAGTAATTACTTAGAAGTGCAGAGGGGGGTATTTATTTCAGAGGTAGAATAATAATAGTTGTCAGTAGGCTTTGTTAGTTAGTTGCTGCGCATGTTTTATTTTTCTAGGATATAGGAGGGGAGAGTATTTTACTAGGATGTGATGTAGGGGGGTGATAAGTTACCAGATTAAACATAATATTTAAACAATTGAAGAGGAAAACAAAGGCATATTTAATAATTCTTCATGCATACATTCATACCATATTTGTTAAATAATTCTTAATAATACATAAAGTTGATAATTTGAATATGTTATCTTTACTTTCATCTCTCTGTGTCTAGTGCAAAGTGTTACTCTGTCTGTCTGTCTGTCTGTCTGTCTGTCTGTCTGTCTGTCTGTCTCTGTCTGTCTCTGTCTGTCTGTCTGTCTCTGTCTGTCTGTCTGTCTGTCTCTGTCTGTCTGTCTCTGTCTGTCTGTCTCTGTCTGTCTCTGTCTGTCTCTGTCTGTCTGTCTCTGTCTGTCTGTCTGTCTGTCTGTCTGTCTGTCTGTCTGTCTCTGTCTGTCTGTCTGTCTCTGTCTGTCTGTCTATATATCTGTCTGTCTGTCTATATATCTGTCTGTCTGTCTGTCTATATATTTGTCCGTTTTGTATATAAAAGTCTAGATTCTAAGCTCAATTCTAATTAAATTTGAAACATGATGACAAATACGAGATTTGACATATACAATATTATGTGGTTACAATCACAAATAGTTCACATAGATACAAGGTGTAATTATGCACAATGATTTGTTTTGAACCAATATCATTCAAGCTTTGTATAATTAATTGCTTTTTTTGTATATTTTCTTTTGTTTGCTATTAATTAACTATTAAGTTTATTATATAGCCACAATCTTTTTATTTAAGTCAGTTTCTAACAATACAAGAATTTATCAAACGTAAGTGTAGGAGATGAAGATCATCAATCACATTCAAACTTCACAAATGCATCACATATGCACGTCCTTTCGTTTCATGATTTGATTCAAGATGGCTGAATGGCAGCCATTTTTGTGCTAAAAATCAAGCATTTCTGCCATTCCTGAACCGAATCATGGTCGTGTGTGGACAGATTTTGTTTGAACTTCTTGAATATTTTTCACTCAATGGGTACCTTTTATTAAGTTTTCGGATCGGTCTAAAATGGTTTAAATGGCAGCTGAAGAGTGGATTCATATTTCTGACACACCTCATCTCAACATGCATTTTTTTTTCATCATCAAATTGATGATGGCTGACTGGTGGCCATCTTGTTTAAATGATTGCAGTTCACAGACATCACATACTTGTTGGGACTAATGAAGTTTAAACTTCACACATCACACATAAGGACATGTATTTTGGAGCTGGTTTTCAATATACTCATAAATTAATTTAATTTAAACCTGGTCTATACAATAAACATCATCCCTCCGGCATGTAATTCTGTTTTCCTGAATTGCCGCCATCTTGTTTTATAGAAGACTGCTCAATAACATATAATTCTGACTAGTCCTTTCTGTGTGCATATCATATCAATATATACTCATTGAAATGAGCATTTTTGTTATTGTAATTTCATAAAATGTAGTACAAATGTAAAGAAAGCGTTAGACAAATGGCTGTAATATGTCTGTCATATCATGAGTGTCAGTACCATGAATAATAAAGTCTAATGTATAATGTTCAGACAGAGTAAAGGAAGGAATCGCAGGTTTTCAGGTGGGTTCAGCAGTTTTCACTTTGCTCAGTCAGAACTACTAATTTCTTATTGCTAGTTCTGTGGACTAGTGATTTATGCTGCCCCATGTCAAGTCCTGCACATACTGGTCTTGTGAACGACTGTGAGTATCCATATGAAGACTGGGAATTGTGGATTAACCTCTGTAATTTGAACATTCCTGGAACGATCAAGTTCCAAAGTTCATGTGTACATGGGGCATGTTAGCAAATATAGCTAAATATCAGTCATTGTTAAACCAAAAGTACATCAAAATCACACATTTTTGCCATTCCCGAATTCAGTGATGTGTGGACTGATTTAGCTATAATTTTGTACATACATTAAACACAATGGGTTCATGATCCATGTTGCACATCTTTAAATGGCTGCTGGATTGCAGTTCCTGATCCATATCTCTGACTTGCCTTGAGGGATGAATTTCAAACTTTACACATACTGTAAATCAGACACCATGTCATGCCATACACATACACAAGATTTGCTTTGTGATTTTTTATATGAGTGCAGATAGCTGCAACTGACTCTAGTTTGTATCCTGTCTGTAATGCATGTACGAGTGTGACAGGCACAATAATAATACAGACTTGAAGTTTGAGGGCGCTGTATTCACCCTGTCCTCAGTATATTGCAATCAATAACTTGGCAAGAGGTATAAATAAATATATAAATAAATCATCACTGTCAAAAATAAGAAGCCACCTAAGTTGGGAGTTTTTCTCATTCTTACTACAGTGCTGTTGTCTCCAAACCAAAAGAATTTGCTCATCTTATAAAGAATAAATTTGGAAGTGCGGACAATATTGACACAATGAGTAAGTAAGACACTTCTCTCATTAACACATCTACAATCTGCCAGGGTTTGAAATTTTGCAGGTTTATCAGACCAATAAAATAATTGAGTGGTCCTGATATTATTTCTTTGATTTTAGCAGTCACCCAACACTTTGCAGAGTGCTGAATTTAGTCAATTTTTCACAAAATAAAGTGCTTTTGATTATTCCATATTTATTCACAAATGTTGATCAAGTCCTGTAGCCAGTGAAAACAAGATTCATTTGATTCAAAATCACCAAAACAATTATGGAAAAATACAATGCATTTTCTTCATGCTTGTATTTAACATTCCACCTATTACTTGGAATGTCAATGCTACTTTGTTTCTATAACAACCAAAATATTCAGTAAACATATAAAACTCATCACACAATGCTAGCTATGTCATTGAAATCCATATACAAACATATTCAGATTTTACTAGAAGTCAAGGTAGCATCAGCTGACATCGTTGCTAATATTTGGTTATAAGTAACCTAATTTTTTTTCATTTCTTGACTAAAACACATCACCATGTTGTGTGTGTTTTTCATATTTCATATCTCGGCTGCTAAAATTGTTGAAATAATGTAATTCTGTTATAGTATGAGTCAGCTACCACTGAGCACCTCACTGGTATGAGTCAGCTACCACTGAGCACCTCACTGGTATGAGTCAGTTGCCACTGAGCACCTCACTGGTATGAGTCAGCTGCCACTGAGCACCTCACTGGTATGA